CCTGAGCTCTGGAAGGAGTGTCAGTAATGCTGCCTCTGGCATCCTTTGAAAGATGATCCACAATGATACACCCACCCCTTTAGGCTTATATGAGGGGAGGACACCCACTGAATAGAATTTGGTGCTACAGGGAATCTTGACAGTAATATATAATTTGTGTTGACATTTATAATGCCTCCTTTCCTCTTAATAAAATACCTATTCAGAAAATGTATACTTATAATTTATATTGTATATCTGTACTATATATTAGGATATACTCAGGAAAGCTAGAAAGGGAATATAAGTTAAAAATAAAAATATTTCATGGAATAAATTAGTTGGTAAATTCATGTACAAGTGCATTGGTACAGGGTCCCACATCTGAAATGAACATGAAATAAGCTAACTTTTCTGATGCTTGGAAAAGTGCTTGTCATATGAAAAGTACGTGTTAAATAAAAAAATAAAATATGCAATGTGTATATATATTATATACACATTATATTTCACTTTTCTCAGAATAATGCCTATTATTTAAAATAAATATCTATTTGAAAACGGGCAGCAAAGTCCTGACAAAATGCTACTTAATTTTTACTATTTCCCTGTGAGTAACTTTATGGTTTTACAATAGAAAAAAATATTTTGTTGCCAACATATTCCAACTTAAATATATTTTTAGAGTTTGGCTTTTCTTACCTTAGAAATAAGTAGAGGAGTCTCTGGGCTAAGTGTCTGTTGTAATAACTGATTTATAATTTTGCTACTGGGTTGTTTAGGTGCCTGGAAGGCTAAGAAGCAATGGGGAGATAAGTCACGTCACAAACTATAGCGTTACATCAGGTGCTACCTGCCTGGCTTTACATTTTGAAAATCTAAGACTCTAAAAATACACTGAACATAAGAAAGAGATTGTAATACTGTTTTTCAGATGGTCAAGCAAACTTTAGCTAAAGCTACAACTGTAGCGGCTAAAATAAACCCCTGGTATTCGTAATGTCTAGTAAAAGCTAGGCTCTGTATGTGGTGCAAAACTGTCTAAAGGAAATAAGGAAATCTGCCTTAAACAGCACGCTGGGATTACCACCACTTGTGCAGCCTGAAGATAAAGGGATCCTGACAGCCAAGTATTTTCTACTGCCTGCCTCCATAAATTGATCCTGTTGCTGTAGTCGGAACTCTCAGGCCCCTAACTCACAGAATGTTAGAAATAAAAGGGGTCCCAGCAAACATTTATACCTCCCTTGTGTTACAAAGGGAAAAAGCTGAGACCCAAGAGAACTGAAGCTACTTACTCCAGGCCCCATAACCAGAGTTATGCCCAGACCACTTTCTTATTATCACCTTGCCATGTCACTGCTGTCCCAATTTTGTCATCCATCACTACCTCTCAACAGTCTTTCAACAATTCTCCTACTTCAAAATAAGCCACAACCCTAGGATCCTGACTATATAATCACCAACCCAGTTTCAAATGCTGGAATTATCCAATGAGGCATACCTCTGGTGACATATTTAAGATCATTTAAAAATCAAAATGAAGTGAGGTTCATGAAGGTTCAGGCATCCAAACTGGAGCCAGGTGGCCATTGTGGATATGGTTTCAGACATGTTTCTGCATCGCTGAGAACTTGAATTTTTTGAACTGTATCAAACTCAAGGATACTATCAGCCATTTTCAAAACAATATTTACTAGCAGCTGCTAGCTGCAACCCTGGAGTTTCAAAGCCCTCCCCACCTCAAATCTTCACAATTATGTAACCTTTTCAAATCCCAACCAATCCTTTCTTAGCAAGCACCGCTTACTTTTTGCCAGCTCCAATCCTAATTCTTGACAAACAATTTACGTAAACTTGCAGCGTTTTTGCCTTTATAAGTTCCCTCCATCTTGCGGTCTAGCAGCACAGGATTCAAGTACTCCTTGAACCTGTGTCTCCTGGGCTACAGCCCTAACAAACCCCAGATAAGTGCTTCCCCCGCCCCCCCAACCAGGTCTCCATTCTTGGAATTCATGGTTAACTCCTCTGCCAAACTAATCACTATTTGCACCTATTACAGAAATTAGTTGGTCTTAACGTTTAAGGCTTCAGTCAGATTTCTGTAAGCTGCAGTATTTACCTCATAAGAAGGAAAAATAAGTTAAATATAGCTTAACTAATACACACTTGAGAAAAAATGCAAAGGATTTTAAGTAATGTAATAACCCGAGAAGGCCAAACCCAGAGTAGCAATTTGACTTCTTCCTGGTGTTACTGCTGGCTATGTGGTGAGGAAAATGGATCGACAAAGAAAAGGTTTCTCATCTCTCCTGCCACATTTTTTCCCGCTTCTTTCTTTGTGCACACATGACTAGTCTCAAGTCTCTGCAAATGCTACCAACTATCTAGGTGATGAGTGACAGGAAGGCAGACAGATGGAGCCATGACAGATACGTGTGCTGCCCATTTTCCACCACAGGCTCTCTAAGGCAACACTGCCCAAGCTGTCAATCTATATTTCAGTGCTTTCATTAGATAATCATTTTTCTCTATTAGGTAATAATGAAGAAGACATTCAGTGGGGAAAAAAAAGGGACTATAAAAAATATTAAATACTGGGCTTCCCTGGTGGTGCAGTGGTTGAGAGTCCGCCTGCCGATGCAGGGGACACGGGTTCGTGCCCCAGTCCGGGAAGATCCCACGTGCTGCGTAGCAGCTGGGCCCATGAGCCATGGCCGCTGAGACTGCGCGTCCAGAGCCTGTGCTCCGCAACGGGAGAGGCCACAACAGTGAGAGGCCCGTGTACCGCAAAAAAAAAAAAAAATATATATATATATATAAAAAATACTAAAGGTTTATATCATTTTTTTCCACCTTCAGTTTGCTTTGCATGTCCCTTTCTGAAGTTTCATATTTTTATTCCTTGTTCTTTTGGTCACGTTTCTTTTTTTTTTAATTGACTCAAATTAATTTATTCTTCCCTAGATTTCCAGTTGCTAAATCCTTATCTTCCTGGGATCAAACCAAAAACTCCAAGAACTGACAAAGACAAGCCCACTGGAAACAGAAAGGCTTTCAGAAACACAATACTTACACTTTGCTGTTTACAGAATATTTATACATACATATATTTGTCGATTAAAAAAAAAAAGCGCAACCTAAAAGTTGAAAATTATGCTTTATTTGTCAGACTTTCTGAGGATTTCAAGCCCGGGAGGCAGCCTCTCAGAATAGCCCTGAGGGACTTGTCTGAAGAGGTCAGGGAGGAGCCAGGATATACAGGGCTTTTTGCAACAAAGACCAGGTAGTTGGAACATCAAAAGATTACCGTTAATTAAAGAAAAGCAGACATCTCAAGTTAATGAGCTCTCTTAAGTTAATGAGACTTTTCTATGTTTGGAAAGATGGAAGAGTCTGGCTCACTGACATCATTCCTTTGATATATACCTTAGTTATCTAGAGCCTGCATCCTGTTCTTTCCCATCCTCAGTTCCCTCAGGGTTCACTGTTGGGGGTGAGGGGAGGCAGCTGTAGTGGCTTGATGGCTGCAACATCCTTTGTTCACTGATAGGGCAGGCAACGTTTTTTCATTCACATATTCATTTATCTACACCATGATTTTGTAATGGAACAAGACCCTATGGGGCCTTCCTGGGACAGACCCCCTCCCCCATATCCTCTGCTTTAGAAGTACCTAGATAATAGTATCTGATGCACATTTCCTGAGTTGTTTTACAGATGCCAAAATCTCCACCAAATTTAACTACTTAATGACCATGAGCATATAGGCCCCCAGGCCTACTGGAGTGGCAGGACTGACGATGTTAACCCCTGTGACAGGGTCCTGTTACCTCACCAACAACCAACTGGAGAATTGTGTACGAGCTAATCCACATACCCTGAGACTTCCCTCCCTCACCTGGCCTTTAAAAATGCTTTCCTGAAACCCAATGGGGAGTTTGGGCTTTTTGATCATATCTGTGCCAGACTCTTTGTAGAGCACCTTATAATAAATGCTGCACTTTCCTTCACCACAATCAGTAGATTGGCTTTAGTGCTCGTGAGCAAGCAGACCCAAGTTTGGTTCAGTAACAGTTTTCCAATTTGTTAATCTTTAGTATTCTTTTCATTGCCTTACAAACTGTATATCTAAAGCTACAGAGAATTTTTGAGATATATGATAGTTTAAGAGAAATCATTTACATATCCCAGAATCAGGCATACTCCCTAAGTAAGTTTCTATATATATTTGATTATTTATGTAGCCATAAAAAAGCCAAGTGGTTTTGGTTTTGCACCCAAGATGAACTTTTTTAGATCATTTCTCCTCCTTTATATTTTGTGAAAATAGAAAAATATGATCTGTTAAAATAGCCCAGAGAACCAAGACCAATTTTTAAATATGTCATTTTATTCTGACTGGTGCAAGGTTATGTCTTTCACAAGTAATTCTACTTAAGTAAATGTGAATTTTGAGAAAATGTTTAATATGACATGAATCTTCTGGAGTTATTTTACGTATGGATCTATACACAATTTCTGCTTAATTAAGTGATCTTAAATTCTTGTTGGTTGGGTACTTAAATAAATTTAATAAATAGCTTCTGTTTTCATTATTTTACAGTATTCCATGGGAAGGAATGAGATAGGAACAAAAATAAAGAGTAGATAAGGTAGACTATAAACCTCTGTGAGAAGTACAAACAAATTATTTTAGGAGTCCAAATGAAAGATAAAGAACATATCTGATGAAGGAGATAAGAAAGGTATTCACACAGGAGGTGATATTTTAAATGGACCTTGAAAGATAAAAAGAATTATGACAAGTGGAAATAGTATGAGGAAAGTTCTATGCTAAAGACACAGTATAACTAAGGCAAAGAAGAGTTACACGTATTGGAAGAATTGAGCATACTGAAGGGGCTGGGGGGAAGAAGTTTAGCTAGAACACAGAGTACCAGGAGACTAGTATAAGACAAGACAAGTCTAGCTAGATTTGTACTTAATTTAGTAGTGAATAATAAAGCACATACACTTACCCAAAGCAAAACTATAGAGTGCCTCTTCATCCCATCTCCTGTTCATGTTTATCATTTCTCCATGAAGCAATAAGGCTCTTCTGGAGGTTAGAGAAACACTAAATAAAGATTTAGCTACTCCAGTGTCCTGAGAACCCACTGCCCCCACCTGAAAGCACTATGCAAAGGCATTGTATGTTTGCACTTTACAAAAAAAGTCCTGTAACTTTGTATTACCACCAGCCACCTAGTCTGTATTTTTCAGGTGGTTATTTCAGTTGAATTATAGGTCTTTGTAACAAGAAGTTAAATGCAAAAGATGTTAATCCATTGGAAAACAGGTACAAGTTAGCACTGGCTTTCAAGTCAGGAAAATAGTTGAGTAACAGTAACTCAGAAAAGGTGTAATTTCAACGAAGTTACACTGTAGGATAAGAACAAATGAAATGCAGCTATGTTCAGCATTTCCCTGAGACTGATAACTACTGCCAATCACTCACTGAGAAATTCACATTTCTTACAGCTTCCATCATTATTTATTTGCTACATTTCTGTGGGATTTTAGCTTACGCACACACACACACACACACACACACGTGTATGATTAATAAGCAGTGACTTCAGCTAGTAAGTTATTTGTTGGTAACACACAGTATATAACAGCTTCATGACTTCTGTAATACTGGGGGAGCCTGCGTCAGTGTCTCCCTCAGCAAAACATGAGGGCATGGTTGGACAAATGTAGTACTGAAAGAGGAGGGAAAGGAGCAGGGCACAACCTTTAAAAGAATGACATAGCCATTGAGGATATGACATAAACCGGTTAGAACCAACTAGGTCCAAGATGGCAGAAGATCTGACTTCCAGTAGACCTTGAGCCTCATTATATGCTAATTGTAATTCACTAGCATATGCTAAATGACACACCCACAAGTGCCATGACAGTTCCAAGGCTGACCATAAGAGGACAAAAAATGGGCTGTGGCCCAAATCCTGGAAATCCCTGCCCCTTCCCTGACATAATTAGAATACTCATCCCACTTATTAGCCTATGAAATCACCCAGCCCATAAAAACTAACCACCCCATATTACGGGTCAGCTCTCACTTTCCCAGACAACCCCACACCCTAGAGCCATTCTAGCCTTTTGAGACAGACTGCATTCTGTCTATGGAATGTGCATCTCTCTAAATAGACCACTTCTTACCGATCATTTTGTCTCTCATTGGATTCTTTCTGCAATGAGACATAAAGAGCTTGAGCTTCATTAAGTCCTGAGCGAAGGCGTGTGATTTCAATTAAAAGACAATGGGCTCAAGTCCCAGTCTGAGTTGTGTGGTTTCAATACCACAGAAAGTCATATGTCACAGAGACACAGGGAAGACAAAGTGTGACAAAATCAGTCACAGAAATAGGTATTTCACTGATAAGTCACTACATGCGCATTTTTGAAAAGCATATTAACAAAGGTCCTACTTTCTTAGATCTACCATTACCTGAACTTACTTAGAAATAAAGGTTTAGAAATTAGTTTAACAAAGACGCTGAAGTTAAAGTATGAATTTAAAGCAACTGCAGACCTACTGATGGGAACTAATAAGTGTTTTTGAAAAGTCCACCCAAGATTCTAGAGAGAACATTTATTTTACTTTTTTTTTTTTGGTGAGGTAGAAAGGGAGAGTGGAATACCACTTAGGTAGCATTTGGAGTTTGTAATACGTAAATCTAAATTCAAGTTAATTGCTTAGAAAACAAGAGGCATCTCATTTATAGTATAGGTTAGACCACGGTCAATCAATATTTTTCCTATGTGTATCCTACTTTAACCCTATAAATTTTTTTTTTTCTTTTTCCTTTTTGGGTCCTGATGAAAGGACAGGGAGAGGATAGGCTGGGATGCCCAGAGGATCAAAAACAACTCAGAAAACCACTTAATCAGGTGGAAGCATCGCAGCTGTGATCAATCTTCCCAAAGGAAGCCCAATCTCACAGGATCTTGGAAAATTACAGGGGCCCAGCAGGGGAGTCATCAGAGAGAAACACCTGGGTGTGTGGGTGGGGCCAGAGGCCCCTCTTCACAGAATCATCTGGAAAGCGTCTGGCTCATACCACCTTTCATGCACACACCAATCCTTCTCCATGCGCCCCCTTCAACACTCCTCACCCCCACATCAAAGTCAGTGCGGAGGGGCCTCGCCCCAGAGGACAGGCCAGGTGCGTGAAAGCGCTGTGATCTGAAGGCTTAGCTGGAGAAGAAGTGCCCAAGGCCAGAACTGGGGGTGAACTGCGCATGCGTAGGCTGAAAACCTACAGCCTTCCAGGAGCCAGAAGAGCCCCAGAGTAGCCACAAGGGCTTCTGGCCCAGAACCCTGGGGCCCCAAAGCTACGTCTGCCAAGCTCCAAGGCCACAGCAGCCTGAATGCACCATTCCATTGCACATCCTCATGGCCAGCTGTTCCTCCCAGCATCTGTGAGGTGTCTAAACCAAGGAGACCATGGCTGCCTGTTCCTCCAGCCTTACCCCTGAAGAGCAGCCTCGGGGCATTAGTCTCTCCTTCTGACTCAGCTCATCTATTAGCATGTGTTCCCCTTTGGTGGGGGAACTCTATACACAAAATACCTTCGGTAATACTGCTTGGAGATACATACCTTTGGTAATACTGCTTGGAGAAATACCTTTGGTATTACTGCTTGGAGATATATAGGTGGGGTGCATTGAGCTGAAAAGACAATATGATTTTGATGAGGAAAGTGGACAGAGAAGATAATCAGCATCTTTTCTAAAACTTTGTCCAAATGGTGCTTAATTCTCTTGGGTTAGCTACTTACTACAGTGTTAAATGTAATTTCAATTTGATGCAAAAAGGGAAACGCGTGTACATAAACGATGCTAGGCAACTTTTAGTATTAGAAACTAGGACAAAAAAAAAATCTCTAGCTATTACATTACCACACAGATATTTCCACTTGAATATTTTTTCTGTAGCAAGCCCTATTTCAGGGTTCGTTGACCTACATGAAATCATTAAACCACAGAAAACATTTATTAACTTGAAGTCTTCATTTATTTTATAGCGCTAAGAAGCTCACAAGTACCAGGGTAATGTAACCTTCCCTGAATACACACACATCATCATCCCAGTAAAAGTTATATTGAGGGTCTCGATGTAGTAGACTACAGTACCTGGAAATAATATTGGTTTTACTAAAAATAGTGTCTTAAATTCCACATATTATTAGAGTAATAAAATATCTGAAAAAAAAATCTGGATTATGACGTTACTAGCTGATATTTATTGCTTAATTTGGAGAAAGTATTAACATAGATTGGTTGTGCACACATGTTAACTACATTATTTAGACAAAAAAACAAAGTACAATATTACCCTATATTTACCTTCATACAACAGATGTTTCTAGAAAGATTAAATTTAATCAAAATGTGTATCAAATTAGCTTTAATATATAGTGAAGAGGAGGGTTGAGTTTTTCTGGAAGGGACTACAAAATTGGAAATCCATTGATTTCACAAACTGCTTAATTTACAACGTTGCATGGTTCTCACACTGGACATTGGAGTAGTAGATATGGTGACTGAACCATGAATCAAGCAAGCACATATGGTGATTTTATTTATATCAGTTTTCCTGGTGCCAGGAAGCCCTCATAGTGTCCCAAATTTAATGATATAATTTTAGTGATTTTAAAATTTAAATAGCTCAATAATATATACAAATATTTTAATTTAGTCTCAATCACAATTTCTCTGTTAAGTTGAGAACATGAGATTTAGTGGCAGACATTAACTCATGAATAACAGTGATCAGAAAGCTAGGTTCTAGTAGCCTACTAATTTATGAAAGGTAGCTAGTTAGATTTTTTTTAAATTGTTTTTGTCCTGTATTTGCTAAAGATTTTCAGGAACCCCTGTCAGGATCAAAGGACTCCATTTTATTGCATTCTGTCTCAGTATATTCTTTTATAAAGTAAATAATTCTTTAGCAATGTACCCCTTTATTGGATTTATACATGCTCATTTTCAACAACTAATATGTCTTCAATAGACACAAATACGTGTCTTTTGTAGGTGGATTAAAGATTTCACTGACAAAGTAAAATTAAACAATTCTTTCACAATAATGTTTCCTGCCTTCCTGCATCTTCTTGAATTCCAAAAAGGGGAAGGAAAACACACAGTAATATTGGTTTGCTGACTCTTTGCCTTGAAATGCCAATTTTTTTAGAATTTAAGAGGGATAAAATGACTACATTTTCAGTATACATAATGATACCTGAAAATGTAGTTGGGTTTTTTTTTTAAGAATCTGAAGTTTTGTTTTCACGGAAAACCAGATGGTGTGTTTTTGGTTTGGGGGTGGTAGTGGAATTTTGTTTTGTCTGTTGTTGTTGTTTTTTAAAAACAGGTGTGACATTTTCTCCAGCTACTGTATTAGCATATTTAATTGCTAAGTTCACAGGCAGTCATCTCAATTCTTTTACCAGCAGATGGTGAAAGTGATTTTAAAAGAGGAGTAAGGATTTTTCAAAAAACATTTCAGAACAGTATGAGATCTGCTTTCCTCAATGGGTGTGACAACCTCTGATGAGCACTAATGGAAATCACATAACAGCATCTACAGTGCATTTGCCTTTAATTACTTGACAGTTATCCAGATTCTCTGAAATTACTCGCACATTATCTAACAAAGCATTATGTACTTTCAGTAACTTTCTTCAAATCATTTTATAACCATTAGCTAATTAAACTGCACAATACTCCTGCAAAATATGTAGGTAGAAAGTTTTATAAGCTTTATGTTACTGAATTCCCAGCTGTATCACTGACAGAGATGGAAGTTAAATGTAAGTCCCAAACTCACAAGGATTTACACTTCATGTCACATTTGCTCCTCAAATATAAATGACTAGTGTTTAGAATAAGACATTTGGTATCGCAGGCACTGTTAGCTGCTTTTCCATATCCATTCTTCTCTTCTTAGCTAACAGAATCCTTCTTCTGTTCAGAGTGGCCATTGTTAAAGAAAAAATTATTCTGACATTTGTTCAAATAATAAGGAAGAGGTTATCCAAGACAATAGTAATAGAGATATTGCAATAGGGGACAGAGATCGGACTCAATTCCAAATACAGCAAAGACAGCTGGGGATTTATAGGCAAAGAACAGCGTTGAGGGGGCCAGTGGATAAAAAATTATAGAGAGGAAACATCAAAGATAAGAGGATTCTTGCTAAACTAACCTAATAGGATTCTGGCTAAAGACAAGTCAAGGATTTGTACATCAAAGATGGGAGATGAGGAATGTGATCAAATATCAAGGGTGGGGGAATTCTCACTAAAATGACTTAACAGGATTTATTGCTAACACTGGACTGGGCAGGCTGAAAACAGGATGGGGGCCAAAGTCGATGACTAGTCAAGAAGAGGGCTCAGAGGAGCCTAACTAAAGTTTGGTCAAAGAGTCTTTGTTACCATGTATTCAGCTAAAAGTTTAAATCTCCCTTGCTGCTGGGTATGACATGTTACAGGGTTGTGAACAACAACATATAAAGGAAAGTCCGCTGGAAAGTTTTGGGACTGTTTTTACTTTTCAAATTTAGGCACTGCCTCCCTCTCCCACTTCTTTCTGAACACAATGAATCCTAATTGTGACCATGGGGATGAAAGCCACATGCTAAAGATGGTGGAACAGAAAGAAAGAGCCCAGGATATTGTTGAAAACATGTAACTCTTGATGCAACTCTGGGCTGCTTCCTCCAGACTTCCTGTTATGTGAGAAATATTAAACCAGTATAGTCAGGTTTTCTGTAATTAACAGTGGAAAGCACCGTGGAGCAACTGAGCCTGTGCACAACTACTGAGCCTGTGCTCTAGAGCCCGTGAGCCACAACTACTGAGCCCACGTGCCACAACTACTGAAGCCCGAGTGCCTAGAACCCGCGCTCAGCAACAAGAGAAGCCACCGCAATGAGAAGCCCACGCACTGCGACGCAGAGTAGCCGCTGCTCGCCTCACCGAGAGAAAACCCGCGCGTAGCAATGAAGCCCCAACGCAGCCAAAAATAAATAAATTAAATAAATAAATGTATTTAAAAAAATAAAGTAGAAAGCAATCTTGGCTGAGACATTTGGCAAACATGATTCCCTTATTATATTAGAGTGTTCCTGGCAAAATTCTAAGTTCAGTTGGAAAGATAAAATTCAGAAGTTAATTCTTGAAAAATTAAATATTAAGAATGAATGAACCATAGACATCTCTTTCTTCAGCATTCATGCAATGCTTGTTTTGAGAATATGTTACCCAGGGGAGAAATCTGGGCTATGGGATATAAAGATTTGTAACCCAGTTTTTAAAAACTTAGCATGAGCTAGTATAATCCCTATGTAACAATGGGATTCCTGGTTAAGTAAAATAGAAAGTAATCAATCATTAAAATAGAAATCACAGCATTCTGAATAGCCACAAAGACACCTTAACTCTGTGGTTCTCTGAAAGAGAATCCCTCCCCCTGGACAGCAGAGCACGTGGCTTCCAGGAGTGCAGAGACCTTCGGCACATCTGGTCTGAGCTACAAACAGCCTCCTCCAATGCCCCAGTGTTCCAAGCAAATATCATTTCCTACATGTGCTATGAGATGAAAAATATGGGAAACCCCTGCTTCAGAATAGTGATTCTTAACTGTGGCTTGAGTTTTGAGATGGATCACAAGTAATTCGTTACAAAAATAAAACATTAAAATTTATAAATGACTTCTTTTGCAAATGTAGGCAAATTCATAATTACCTGTGAGTACCATTTCTCTCACATTTTGATAATTTCTTCTTTAGTTTGCTAACACTTTTAATTATGCATACATACACACATATAAATGCATAAATGTGGCTCACACTTTTGGGAAGGGCAGTCTTCTTTTTATCATTTCCCTTTTTACTCAGCTTCCCACATCCCCTTACCCTTCACCCATCTCCTCCAGCTCCATCTACAACAGCACCCCACCCTTGATCCTCAGCCGACCTAGGTGTGTATTCTTTCTTATTTTCTCATATAATCCTATACAGACTTACATGTGCACACAAATATATGTACAGATACATATATACGATTTGCTTTTCATTGTTTTATCAAAAATGAGCCATATTATTAAACTTCTCTTTTCTTAACGTAATAATATCTCATGGAAATCTCTCCAAGTTATGACACTAATATTTTCTTTTTAATGGCTGCATATTATTCCAAACTATACATACATACACATACATATATACATATATATATATATATACATACATATATATATATGCTACTGATGGGTACTTTATTTTCTGATTTTCAACAGGACAAAATGCTTTAATAAATATTTACTTATTTTTAGGTGCTTTTATTTCTGTGGTATAAATTCCCAACACTACAATTCTAATTTTTTTCAAACGACCTCTGAAGTGGCTATTTCCATCAGCAATATATGAATAGCCGTTTTTCTATATCCCTACCAATAATTTGTATTACTAGTCTCTTTCAAATTTTGCTATTCTAATATTTATGAAGTTATATCTCATTTTTACTTTCATCTCCATTTCTCTACATTTAGATTTGAGCATCCTTTCATGTGTTTGTTGACCATTTGTATTTGCTCTTCTATGAATCATATATTCATAACATTTTCCCATTTTTCTTGGGCTGTTTACCTTCGTCTTGCAAATTT